GCTAATATTTTAGTATATTTATCCTATCTTATAGTACTATATAAGTGAGTGTATACCATGTGTGTCTTTCAGCTTCTGGGATACCTCACTCAGGATGATATTTTCTAGATTCCACCATTTACCTGCAAATTTCATGATTTCCTTATTTTTAATTGCTGAGTAGTATTCCATTGTGTAAAAGTACCACAATTTCTGTATCCATTCCTCCATTGATGGACATCTGGGTTGTTTCCAGGTTCTGGGTATTATGAATAAAGCTGCTACAAACATGTTGAGCAAATGTCCTTGTGTGCTTGAGCACCTTTTGGGTATATGCCTATGAGTGGTATAGATGGATCTTGAGGAAGCACTATTCCTAATTGTCTGAGAAAGTACCAGATTGATTTCTAAAATGGTTGTATAATTTTACATTCCCACCAGCAGTGGAGGAGGGTTCCCAATTCTCCACAACCTTTCCAGCATGTGTTGTCACTTGAGTTTTTAACCTTTGCCATTCTGATGGCTGGAAGGTGAAATCTCAGGGTCGTTTTGATTTGCATCTCTCTGATGGCTAAGAACGTTGAGCATCTCTTTAGGTGTTTCTCTGCCATTCTAGTTCCTCTACAGAGAATTTTCTTTTTAGCTCTGTACCACATTTTTTAATGATTACTTTATATATTACTTTTTAATTTCTTTAGTTTTTTTATATATTCTGGCTATCAGCCCTCAGATATAGGGTTGGTGAAGATCCTTTCCCAGTCTGTAGGCTGTCGCTTTGTTTTAATGGCAATGTCTTTTGCTTTACAGAAGCTTTTCAGTTTCATGAGGTCCCATTTATTAATTGTTGCTCTAAGAGCCTGTGCTGTTGGTGTTCTGTTCAGGAAGTTGTCTCCTGTGCCAATGAGTTCCAAGGTCTTCCCCATTTTTTCTTCTAACTGATTTAGTGTATCTGGTTTTATGTTGAGGTCTTTGATCCACTTGAACTTTAGTTTTGTGCAGGGTGATTAATATGGATTTATTTTCATTTTTCTGTATGTAGACAGCCAGTTGGACAAGCACCATTTGTTGAAGATGCTGTCTTTTTTCTGTTGAATGGTTTTGGCTTCTTGGTCGAAAATCAAGTATTCATAGGTGTTTGGGTTTATTTCTGGGTTTTCTATTTGGTTCCATTGATCTACTTTTCTGCTTCTATGCCAATATCATGCCGTTTTTATTACTATTGCTCTGTAGTACAGCTTGAGATCAGGGATGAAGATATCTCCAGATGATCTGAAATGATATGAAACCACAAAAAGGCCAGGATAGCTAAAACAATTCTGAGGAAAAAAATAAAAAGAACAATCCTACAGAAATTATCATTAAACTGATTTAAAGCTATTTTACATTTCTATAATAATTTAAAAAAAAAACAGCATGGCAGTTCTACAAAAACAGACAGTTAAATCAATGGAACAAACAAACATGAGTATTTACAACCACAGTCATCCGCTAGCTGATGAAGATGCCAAAAATGCACACTGGAGAAAAGATAGAACCTTCAACAAATGTTACTAGAAAACCTGGGTGTCCACATATAGAAGATAGGCCCATGTCTATCACTCTACATAAATATTAACTTAAGAAGGGTCAAAGACCTAAACATGAGACCTGAAACTGCTGGGAAAAAACAAAGGGAGTATGCTACATGACATAGATATAAGAAAAGACTTTGTGAATAGGGCTCCATTTGTCCCAAAATTAAGACTAAGAGTTGGCAAATCGGACCTCACAAAGCTTCTGGATAGCTAAAGAAACTATTGAGTGAAAAGGAAGCCCACAGAGTCAGAAAGAATCTCTGCTAGCAATACATCTGACAAAGGACTAATAGCCAGAAAACACAGAGAACTCAACACAAAAGGTCAAGGAAACAATGGATCTGAAAAAAAGATTTCTCAACAAAATAAATGAAAATGACTAAGGAGTATCTCAAAAAGTGGTCAGCATCCTTAACAATTGGAAAAATGTAGCTTAAAACTACTTTGAGATTTCATCTTACCCCAGTCAGAATAGATAAAATCAACAAAACAACAAATATTGGCCAAGAAGTGTGGAAAGGGGAAGGCTCATTCATTTTTGGTAGGAATGCAAGCTGGTACAACCAGCCATACTTGAATCCAGTGCTGAAAATCCTCAATAAACCAAATGAAATCTCCAAAAAAAAAAAAAACAGTGGTCCTTGACACGTACCCAAAAGTCTCAGTGTCCTGCTCCACAGACAATTGCTCATCCATGTTCATTGCTGCTCTATGTACAATAGCTAAGGAATGGAAATAGCCTAAATGTCCTTCAATGAAGAACAGATAATGAAAATGTGGCTCATATACATAGTGGTATATTTTCAACCATAAGGAAAAACTGTTTAAAGAAACTTGAAAATATTCTGCTGTAACCCAAACCCAGAAAAGCAAATTCCACATTTTTTTCCTGTTTATGGTTCTTGGCTCCAAATGTTTAGATGGTGTAACATAGAGAGTAAGCAAATAAAACAGGAAAGTAAAAAGAGACCAAGAGGAGATGGGAAAAAAGAAGCTCTAGAAAGAGCAATATACAGCACATAGATGCTACTACATGGGAAATGGGGAAAGTGAAGAAGGCTTTAACTAAAGAGTCAAGACAGAGATCAGTGCATGGGGAGAGGGAAAGAGGAGGAATAAATAACATTAAGGGTATTTGAAAAAACCACAAGCAAACACATTATATATATATTTACCCCAAATTACATACAATATTCATAAGTGCATGTATGTATATAAAAATAATTAAAATGATGTTATGCCACTTGGGGTGATAATGCAACCACAAGATCCATAACTATTCAGCAAAACTCCATAAGAAACAATATTTCAAGTGTTCTGTCAGGACAGCCCAAGACAGGACTCCCAAAACAATGTAGACTATTGCTAAAGCCCTTAGTTGACTCCCAGAACTTGAAGATAAGTCTCTAAAGATACTACACGCTCTGGACATAGGACTTGGAGGAATGGGCTGCAACTGACCTAGACATCTATTTCCTGAGAATTAACTCTCATAGCATCCAAATAAATTCTGAAAGCTTCACAAAGATTGTAACAGGATGCACAAAACCTGAACAAACTCAAGTCATACAAAACCCCAGCACAGAAAAGGGGAAGTGGACACAAAGTCCCACCCTTAGCCAGGAAGCTTTTGCAATTGATACCTGCAGGGAGAGGGAAAATCAGTTTTCTCCAGTGGAGTGACAAATAGGTATATTCACCACATTCCAGGACAGGCTTCCAATTCTGGAGTAATTGACCAACACTAACATTCTTCAGTGTGCTTCTGTTGTTGTTGTATGCTTTAGTGGGTTTTATCTTTAGTTTTGTTGTCTTGGCCTTTTAGTTTTTGAGGGCTAGTTGAGAGAACATTGAGTTGGGCAAGTAGGGAGGTGGGGAGGTCCCAGGAGGACTTGAGGGAGAAGAAAGACTAGAATCAAATATATTGTATAAAATTTTTAAAATAATAAAAACTGTAATATAAAAGTAGGTGGCATTTCTCTGTTGGTGTGTCCTGGGTTGGTGCAATGGTGAGATTCTTTGACTTTTCTGGCTTTACCCTGTACAACTTCATTATGTAGTGTATAAAATATTATTCCTGTAGCAACTTTCTTCTCAAGTTCTATAACTGAATGATAGCAGGTGCTCTCCAGAAATGTAAAACTTAAACTGATATTTTGACAGTTTATAAATTTGAGAAAGGACAAAGCTAACACTTGAGCTCTTCCAGCTATGTTATAGTCTGCTGATAGCAGTAGACACATCTAATGAATTAGTTGAAGACACAGGCTATTAAATCGAGGTTTGATGATTGTGGAGGAACACTTTTTCTGAAGTGAGTGGACAACTCATACACATGACTTTGTGCAAGTCTTCTTTGTTGCAAACATAAACTTATAAAGCAGTGATTTAATATTTTCTCAGACTTCTTTTATAAGTTGTGGAGATATGATAAAGAGAATGTGGCTTTATAATTTGTCTTACATACTGTTTGTTTGTGGTGATGAAGAGACACCATGACCAAGGCAACTTCTAAATAAAATTTAATTTGGGGCCTGCTTAAATTTTCACAGGTTAAGTCCATACCACCATGTCAGGGAACATAGAAGCAGGCAGCAGGGTATCAAAGAAGTAGGGGAGTTTTCCTTCCTGCTCGGCAGACGGAGAAAGAGACACTGAGCCTGGTGCAGGCTTATTAAACCCGAAAGCTCACATCCAGCAACACACCTCCTTCAACACCTCCTCCAACAAGTCCACATCTCCCGATGCTTTACAAACAGCTCATCAGCTGGACACAAAGCATGCAAATATATGAGCCGACAGGGGCAACTTTCATCCAAAACACCATCATTTATATGTAATTCAGAATTTTTATTTATGCATATTACCATTAAATCTTCAATTAAAAGGAAAATTGATATATATGAACTAAAAAAGCAGTTGGAATAGCATGCACAAGCTCAAGCTACACAAAATTTCAGCGTGGGGGGAGGCACAAGTCCCACCCCTAACTAAGGAGATATTGGTTTCTGATAGCTACTAGGAGTAGAACAACCTGTTTCTTTACAGACATGGCCCCAGTAGGTCAGCAACACATCAGTGAAGTCACACACCCAAGAGTGATAGACAAGCACAAACTGTACTTGAAGGTTTTGTTTCCCTCTAAAATCAAAGGAAGAAAAAACTGGGTAAGAAGGAGGGTTTGACCTGCTAAGAATTGGTGGAGAACTGAGCATAGTCAAAGCACAATGTATGAATTCTCCAGGAACTAATAAGTCTCATTCTTCTGGATAATCAAAAGATCTGCAATTGACTGAAACATTGGTTCATCTCTTTTCTGTTTGTGTACACCCCGTGTCTCTCTAAAGCCTTCTGTAGAACATTTAAAACTGTGCCAACAAATATGACAGCACTCTGAACCTTCTCATCTTTGTCAGTTCTTACAATAACCCTCCTGAAAATTTGTTCCTAAAAATGGGTATCTGTAAGGGAAAGGGTACAGCAAATTGTAGCAGCAATCCTGAACTGTCTAGTGTCAGCACAGATAAGGGATACAGCATAAACAGGGAGGCCCACAGCTGTGCAAATGCTGCTATGGAGTCTGCCTGTGTACACCCAGCTGCAGTTTGGGGCCAGGCTGCAGGCTTGCTGGGAGCACTGTGCCTCAGCAGCACAGAGGTAGGTGCCTGAGTCCTCTAGCTGGGCATCTCTGATGTGCAGGGTGCTGTAGCTCTCCTTAGAATCAAATGTTGACTTTAACCTCCCATTCTCCTTTGCTCCCAGAGCCAGGTAGAAAAGATTGATGAGGCTGCCCTGGGGATTCTGTCTGAACCACTGCACAGTCGTCATGGTGGTGGAAAAATTGCATCTCAGAGCAAAACTGGTTCCCTCGTGGAGACTCAGGACTGAAGGACTCTGCTCCACTTGCATCCCTCTCGTCCCTGCTCAGATTAGAGAGAGACACAGAGACAGAGATAGAGACAGACAGACAGAGGAAATCAGATGAAGGGAAAATCATTCAGCAGTTCCCAAGACTGATATCCCAGGAGATAGCTATGAAGAACTTTGGGTCAGCTTTGTCTTCTGCCCTCCCACCTGCCTCTCTGGAGAACCCCTAACCCCCCAACTCACAGCATAGCTGCACCCACAGCAGCCCCAGCACAGCTCCCAGGCTCCTCTCCATGGATCCTGTCAAACTGCTGACATGCCTTCGCCCCACCTCTAGAAAGTGTCGAATTTATTTCCAACAGGCACCAATAAAATATATGCTCTTTCATCTTCGTGAAAAACCACACCCACAGCAGCCGAGAGAGCTTCACAAGAACTGCTCCCTAGCTGCGAATGAAAACTACACAGGGAAGCAGAAGCCTGTGTCCCCAACAGCTTGAAAACTAAAGAAGGTGTTGTTGTTTAGTTGGTTGGTGGGTTGGTGAGTTAGTCGGTTGGTTGGTTGCTTGCTTGCTTGCTTGCTTGCTTGCTTGCTTGATGGGTAGGTGGGTTGGCTGGTTGTGATTGTTGGTTTGCTCTAACAGCTGAAGTAAGAGACATTTAAAGGTGAATGTGAGAGAATAGGATTTGATATATCAGGAAAGAGTCAAGATCTCAGCACAGCACAAAGCATCTAGAAGGATAGTAAGGGTGACCCACCCATTTCTTTTTTTTTCCAGTCCAAAGAGATATAATAATTAATCCAATATTTTACCTCCATGTGGTTGGGAATTTCTCAATTACCTCAGAAAGTTTCAGAAGGTCAAATTCTATTAAGGTTTTTGTGTGAGTCTAGGCCCTTCTCTCTCTCTCTTTCTCTTTTTCTTTTTTTTTTTTTAATGGGTGACCTTGCTCATTTCTTAAATTCCGTAATTTGACAGGATTTGAGAAATCAGGTGCACGAAAATTCCTATACAACCCTTTGATAGAGTACAGTGTGGGCTGAGGAGTAAACATACTTTCTTTTCCCCCCACAGGCTATTGTTCTTTATTACTATTTTAGGAACACACAACTCAACTTAAAATTTGGTCCACTAAAATATAAAGCTTCCTCCTGTAACAAAAATAACCCCATAGAAAAAAGAGAAATATTTGGCATAGGTCTCTGAGTAAACTTGAAAAATAAGCCAGGATGTGTTTTGGCTACACAGAGGAAAGCACAGAACCACCCAATACAACCAGCTGGCTGTTTCTGGGTGGGTTTGGATACAGAGCTGGGCAGCAGGTGCATGGGAGGATACCCAAGACTCATGACAGTCATGACCACGGGCTCCAGAGTAATCAAGATTTAATGGAGAACAAGGTACGGCATCAGTAGAACAATTTCAACAGTTTTTCAAAACCTGGAAAGTGGGTTGTAAGCTTAGAACAGGTACTTGAGCAGGAGCAACACATGTTGTCAGACTACAAAGGTAAGAAAATGTTTTCATTCACACAAGATGCTTTGTGCACAGTACAATAGTTCCCAGGACAGCAAGGGGGGAAAACATACAAAGACTAAATACATGCTGCTTAACTTTCTACCATTCTCTTGAGTATTAAACCCAGGCCTCCTCTGGCCACTTGCAGGGGTGTCTTTTCTTCTTTATTCTCAATGTAAATACTTGCTCCTTTGGTCACCAGCAATTTTGCTCCTTCTGCTCTCTCCTCCTCACAGGCTAAGTGCAGAGGAGTGTTCCCCGAAGTGTCTTGGATGTTTGTGGATGCTTTGTAATAGAGAAGGATATGAAGCATCTTCAAGTTACCCTTGGCTGCTGCCCGGTGCATTGCTGTAGCGTCATAATGGTCCTGAGCGTCTGGATTAGCCCCACTTTCTAGTAACATGATGGCAATCTCACCCCTATTTTTCGAAGCTGCATAATGGAGGGGAGAGCAGCCATTTTGATTGACTGCATTCACTTGTGCACCCTTTACCAGAAGGGCTTTTACAATCTCATCCCGGCCAGCAGACGCAGCAATATGAAGAGGAGACCAACCTGCATCATCTTTATCATTCACTGGCACTCCGAGTTGCAGCAAGAATTCAACAATTTCTGTATGACCAGCTGAGCATGCCCAGTGCAATGCTGTTCTGCAATCCTGATCGGTTCTAGTAGCCAGAGAGATATCAGCCAAAATGCTCTTCTTCAACTCATCCAGTTTCCCACTGTAGGCCAGGTTGCAGACCATTACATCAGACACACACCCCTCCATTTCACCTTCCCAGGATCTCAGTGAAACTCAAGGCCCCGTAAATATACTTTCTTGAAATCAGAAGATCACCATCTACAAAGAAAATTTTTCCAATAAAATTTTCAATTGCTAAAACAAACAGGTTATGCATATAACATTCACCGTGATTCATTTTTATCTCTGCCCTTCTCCAGTCCCTTCCCAGCACCCTACAGGCCCACACATGGCTGGTCAAGTTCAGAGGTGTTTTCTGTATTTTCTTCTGGTTTTGTGCCTTATGACTTTTCTACCTCTTAATTAATTAGTTTTGTTCCTAATAGCCTGAGAGAAGAAAAATTTGGCTATCCCCAGCTTTAGAATAATTTATGGGTTAGTGAACATTGGATATTTTCATCATAAACTTCAAAAATTGAAGTCATGGGAGTAGAGATATTTTCTGTTGACTTTCTGTCTTCACATTGGCCAGTAAAATTCTATTTCCTTATCTCGCCTCATGATGTGTTTTTGGGCTACTCTAGTTTTATAGTTCTACAGAATGGTAAAGCTAAAACCAGGAATAAACTAAGACCGACAGACTCTCATGTTCAGTTAGTCTCTGTAACTGCACAACCCTCTAGGCACTTCAGAAAGTCTATTCTGGGAAGCCTGCAGTGCCCCCTGGTGGACAACACCATCAACAATGTTGACTTTAGGCTTTCTAACTACACAAATCACACAAAAGCAACTAACTCCCTTCACTCCTTTAGAACCTGATGAAGGAAACACAAGATGATCATAAGACATGATTGTCTAAATGGAGTGGGGGTTAAAGGTAAACCACTTTAACAGTGATACATGATGAACAATAAACCTCTAAGTAACTGATATTTCTTACATTGTGCTACTTACTAGATTTCTATAATTTACTTCAAAATAACTCCGTAAGCATTGACTAAAGTGTTACTGAAAGCAAATAGTAAGAACACATAAAGGGGGAGGAGAGCCTGGTTTGTAGTCTAAAAAAAAGAAGACTAAAGTACACAGATCTGAATAAAACACACAGGATCAGAGAAGAGCATCAGCTATAGCTGTGTGAGCCCCAGGAACAGGAGAAATGCAGAGGGTCAGACCCTGAAGGAGGCATCTTCTTCCCACATTCACACTGTATGGATAATAGAAAATAAGAGGTATGAATCAAGGTGATAGCTTTTATAATTTATTAGTGTTTATATTAGAAAAGTCATTAGTGTTTATATTAGAGAATGTTGCTGGAGACCGGCTCCAGCTGCAAGGTTCAGAAACCTGAGACAGGAAAGGGGCCTCAGAGCAAACTGAAGACACTGACCCTCTGTTGACTTTCAAGCAAGTGGCCCCAAACAGCTCTGAGCTTGCTTTATTTATACAATAACAATCCTTCTATTTAAAGAAATCATAACATCAGTATTATAAAGCCCCGTCATTACAAAAAGCCCCCAATGGTTTTCCTTCCTCCTTTCCCTCTCCTGCTGGGTCAATCACACCCCAACCTCGTTTTGCACTACAAAGCACAATTTCAGCAAAGCAAAAATAAATATCTAGCCAGGCATGCCCTGTGGACATGCGCACATACCCTGCCGGCAACAAATGTGTTGACACAGTTATGCAAGGTGACAGATTAACCATTTATGGGTATAAGTCCATTCATCAAATAGCACCCCTCAGTCATAATGCATTTTTAATTGCAGGCAGAGACACGCCCGATGTGCCAAGCAACCTTTCCTGACGTGTACCCATCAATTTCTGACACCACCTTTCCAAGAACCATTTTTAAGTCTCTATTGATCGGACACAGCTTCCCCGTTTTTAAAGCCTCTGTTGAGCAGACACAGCTTCCTCAGAACAGTTACGCCAGCAGTTATGTTTAGGCAGTCATATTTTACTAAAAGGCATGCATACAATGTACACTTCCTATAGATAAACATATAAATAGACTGCTATAACTTTTCTATCGTTTCAACGTATTTTACCCGTGATTATAAATCTACACCAAAACTACTGGCAGCATAACCCTCGTAGCGTGTTCCCTACAGATGCTGCGTGGCCACTATCAAAATAATAAAATACTGCAGCAAGGCTAAATTCCTGATTGGTGCCCCTATCAGTTCTGGCCCTTTTAAACACTCGTACTCAAATTCTGTCTTCATGTCCATGTGAGCAGCCTCGGACCTGCGTTCCTGCCGTGAGGCGACCAGGCACCCTCTGCCCTTAGCACCACAGCTTAACCAAAACGCTGTCACACTGCTGTATCGCCACCGGCTTTAGACCTCCCAGCCTTCCACCATTCACCGGCGTCTCCGCCGGAATCGCTGCCACCGTATTTCTCACGCCACTCCACCCACCGCCGTTTCCGTCCCAAGCAGGCCCCTAGGGCGACCTGGCTCGGGTTTCAGAGCCCGGAGCTACTTAGACCACGTGTTTCACCATTTTCTACCCGGAAACCAATGATGTAACCCTGACCTTCTGGTGGGGGAGTGAGCACTTCCTGTTTGGTGTTCCACAGGCTCCAGCTTTCCAGGACAGTACCCAACAAGGCCTCGACTCCCACCAGACGCAGAACAACAGTTGCACAGGTCACAGACATCAACACAGATCAGCCACAATAGGACCACAGACCCAGACGTGGCCCACTGCAGCAACACAGGCCTGGGAGGCACCATGGCCCCCGGTGGCAGTGCGGGCCACCCACATCAGTATGGCCCCCAGTGGCAGCCACGAACATCAGTACAGACCTGGCTGCAGTAAGCCCACAGACCCAGACTTGGCTGTCCTCGGCAGTAACATGGGTCTGAACATCCCCATGGCCCCAGGTAGCAGTGCAGACCACCCAAATTAGCACGGGTCCCTGCAGCAGCACACCCCCTAAACAGCAACTCGGACTCACAGACCACAGCACAGGCCATGAACATCCACATGTTGTTAGATGACAATGTGGTCCTTGGACATCAACCTGGACCCACCCTGCCACATCAGGGCCACTGACCCATACATGGTCCGCAGCAGCATATGGGACATGGTGGTCCTTCACGGAGGTCTAATCTAGAAAGTAGATCTTTTCCTCACCTCAGGCCTCCATCATTGCTCAAATCTAGGGTGTTGGCCCAGCTACGAAGCTTGATATGGGGCTGAGTCTGTGTCTGCTTAAACTCCAGGCTGCAGCACACCATCCCTTTGACCCCACCGGGCAACAGCATTCACCGTCAACCTCAGCCCTTTCTCCCTCTCTCCCTCTCTCCCTCTCTCCAGTTATCACTATCTTGTCTCCAGTTCCATCTGTCTCCACAGTGCACACACTACTCCACTTCTCCGTCACTCCCATCTCTCCATCATCCTTTCTCTCCTTACAGTGACATCCAACCCAGATATCCCTCAACAGAAGAATGAATAAATAAAATGTGGTACATTTACTCAGGAAAGTATTATTCAGACACTAAAAAAAAAAAAAAAAAAAAAAAATTAAATGTCATCATGCAATTTGCAGACAAATGGATGGAACTAGAAAAAAAAAAACATCATCCTGAGTTAAGTATCCTACACTCAAAAAGACAAATATTGCATATATTCATTTTACATGGAAATTAGATGTCAAAGCAATAATAACTAAGCTGCAATCAATAGAACCACAGTGGGCAGAGACAGAGTAACGCCCTAGGAGGAACAGATAGATCCAATTTGGAAAGGGAAGTATAATATAAATTTAAGGATTGGAGGGGATCTGGAATGCCAGGATCAAGTGGGGATAAGAAGTGGAGAGGGAGTAGTAGGAGGGAAAATGGAGAGAGACAGCTAGCTAAAATTAAGGGGCATTTTAGAGGTAGTATGGAAACATAATACAGTAGAAACCTCATAAAATATGTACAGGCATAAAGGCAATCTAAATAAAGTTATCAAATAATGAGGGAGACAGAGACTCAACTGGCCATATCTTGTCACCAAATGAAACTCCAATATGGGGTTTGGGTTACATCTAATTGAGTTGTTGGCCACAGGAGCCCCATGGGAATCCTCAAATAACCCAGGCTGTTGCCAAGACTGACACATACTGGCAGCAAGGCCTTATTGCTGAAGACGACACTGACCCAACTTCACTGACATGGAGCTGTCCAGCTAGAGCTACAGATAGCTTCCCCCCCCACCCTTTGTGTTTCAGCCTCTTTGTTAGATGTATAACAAGGAAAAATGACAGATCAGTTTTCCTGATGAATTAATCAAGACACAAAAAGTTTTAAAAACATCCTTGCAAACTGAAGCCAAGAACACATAAAAAAGATCATTCACCATGATCAAGTTGGTTGATTTTACAAATTCCCTGAGAGTTCAATATAGATAAATAAGTTAATTTTTAATTACATATATAGGTTCAAGAATAGAAATTGCATGGTTTTCTCACCTAGGACAGAAAAGACTTCACAAAAATCCAATATCCCTTGTTGTTAAAGGATGTTGAAGACTGAAGAAACTTGTAATAGAAAGAACAAATCTCTACATAATATAGGTTATATATGAAAAATCCACAGCTAACATTATAGTATATAGAGAAAAACTCAAACCCTTTGCAGTAAAGTCAAGAACAGGACAAAGAAATCCACTTTCTCCACTCTTATTCTATATAGCACTAAGAGTCTTAGCTAGAACAATAAGACAAATAGGACCGAAAAAAGCTGGGTGTGGTGGCACACACCTGTGATCCCAGCACTTAGGGAGGCAGAAGCAGGCAAATCTCTGTGAGTTTGAGGCCAGCCTGCTCTACAAAGCAAGTCCAGGATAGCCAAGGATACACAGAGAAACCCTGTCTCAAAAAAAATTTTTTTAAAGATGATAAAAGAAATATAACTAGAAAAGGAAGAAGTCAGTACCTCTATCTGAAAATGACATGATTCTATATATAAAATACCCTAAAAAATCCACTGGAAAACTCTTTGAACTTTTAAACATTTCAGTAAAGCGGAAAAATACAAAATTAATGCATAAAAATCATTAGTCTTCTTATATAATAATGACAAGCA